AAAAAATGTGCAAATAATATCCTGCCCTAATCATAAGGAAATTATTATAGCTTCAATCCAATGCATGTTTATTTCTAAATTCTAATGGACTTCTAAGCATTCAGATGACTCTTGTTTTGGATTTAATCCACTGTAAGTTAAGCATACCATGGAAGAAATAAAGCATTTGAAAATCAGATCCATACAGGATGCCCTGGAATTCACTCACCCATAGGTTCTTTGATAACACCATAATAATCTGGAGCGTCATTGGGATCTACAGGTTCTAAGAATGGCCAAGCCATCTTGTGAGCCTATTAGGAAAAAGATATATCATTCATTAATATGAGAACGCAGGGTTTCACATCAACTCTACTTGCTGCCGTACACTGGGAAAAGCAGGGAGGGAATCGCTTGTAGAACTCTGTCCTACTGCTCCCTGCACACTGAACAGAGTGGGCTGCTGATTTCAGGCGAGGTTCATTTCACAAAGGTCTGCTCAGCAGTTTTCATCTCACTGGCTGAACTAAGTTAGCTTCCTCTTCCCAAAGGTGTATCGTAATGCAGTGAATCCCTTGATTTACTAGACTGCAATTCAGTAGACCTCAGATGCAACGGACAAAATTCCATTTGCATTTAATGGACTTTGAATCTAATGGACACCCATTCCTGTGATCTTGTGAAACTGAGGCTTAGAGAAGGGCAAGCAACTAAGGCCCCTTTATGACCTGTGGACTTCAACTTATAGATGTAATGGACTTCAACTCCCAGAATTCTAGATCATAAAGGGGCCATAGTTGCCCGTCTCTGGCTTAGAGTCTGTTGGTGCATCAGTTAAACAATATTCTCTAACGTAAGTTTCAGCCTTACCTGTAATGAACGTAGCACTCTCTTTAGCCCTTCATAATCTTTGTCAGTCAAAGGACTGAGAACTGTCATGGCATCTTCAGTTGACTGACATTGTGGACAGACATACTCATCAATGAGATCTGCCTCACTTTGTAAAATACCAACGCAGCGCCCATGATACCAATTCTGACATCGGTCACAGCCAATGTAAAATCTGCAAGACCCCAAAGAAAATGGTTAACACCTTTAATTCCACATTATGACTTTTCCTTGATTAACGAATCTAAAAAAATGAGGATTCTTGCCTCACGTTCACACTTAAAATTTCTGAAACCCAATTGAAAGCACAGCTTTATCAACCATGCTTATTATCTCAAACAACTGAAACTTCTTAGTGCTGAAAGGAACAAAGATCATAAACTGTGATTTACAAACAAGATTATCAGAGATTCCCCTATCCTTTGGATCAAC